TGTGGGAAGACAGCGTCATTGTTATGCTTGTTGCTTGAAGGTAACACCTCACTGCTGTCACACCTCTGTACAGTCAGCAGTACGACTTCGCCCTCGGATCTTGGGTTTGTTGCTTTTAGTTTTACCGCTCTTCAATCTACCTGTCTGGCATGGTAGGACCTTGAGGAACAATTGTCTTGGTCAGTGGAGCTCGATTGGCCCAAACACCAAATCAAGGTAGCAGTAACGGTCGGGACTGTTCTAATCGAAATAGGTATAGTGAAATTCGAAACTGCAACCTAATACAACCCATGAGTTTTATGTGCTTGGTCTCTGGATGGATGTTATTTGGCATACACTTTTTCATCTTTATTCATATGAAATCCTAGGGACCATGCAACACAATAAATTCCTTGGTAAATTATCAATCATATTGATGCATCTGTTTTTGGCCTGTCCCTTTGAAAATATGTAAACTTGAATGTAACATGATAGGATGGAGAACAAGCATTGAGTAAAGTTTTTTGAGTCTATTTTACGTATTACTCCCCACTTTCCAAATTAATGTTTAATTCTAGGTAGAATAGAAGAATGTAGGTAAAAAGTGTGACTATTGAATTACTTATTCCACAGTGCCCTCATATATTTCTTTACTGATACTTCTCTCTGTGTAGTTAGTTAAATACTTGTTGCAAAACTTGAAGGCCATTAGTCCGATCAGTTCCTGGGGTCTATAGGTGCACACTGTTGAGGAATACTATAATGGAATAAAATAGCTGTTAATGTACCCCTCCCTCTTTGTAATGTGTTCCGACTGAGTTCAGCCTTTGACGAACACTACTTTTAAATTAAGGTAATCTCCACGACATCCCCTCATTAATACTTCTCTATTGTAATTGATCAATATCAAAACGTATGCTTTAAAAACTTGCAACTATTCATGTCATTTTTATGGTTTAACGACATTTTATTCACTGACTGTAGATCACTTTTAAAGTTGACGATAATAAATTTTCACTGAAATTCTTTCGCTTATAAAACGAAACAATTTAAATCGTCACATGTACGTGCAATTTACTATCTATATGAGTAAACAGGTTGGCTTGTTAAATAAACCCACTCTATCAGATGGTTTTTGATAAAAATCCTATAAATATATGTATATTTGCACACAATTTTGTGCATAGGCATATCCGTTTCATCTATAGTAATTAACGCATTGATAAGCTGTAACACAATTGTAGAACTCAAATGTTAATTTTTCAACCATGTGACCTGGTTTCTAAAAAAAACTTTAGACCATCATATAACTTGCTAATATTTTGTTGCTTAAAGTTGGTATGTATGCTTGTTTAGCTCCGTGTAATTCAAGTATTATGGAAATGAAAATCAAATTATTCATATGCTACCTGGTGCTTTTATTTATTAATATCGATTCATTTGTTAACATTTTATCAGATCTGTCAGCTACTTTCTTCCTGTGAAGACGATAGTTATGATTCTGGAGAATATATATGTATATATACCTTTTCATAAGCTAGCGCTAGTCAGTCGGTAGAATTTTACTACTGGTTTCCTCAACTTCACATCAGTGAAGTAGTGATCCTGGAGTCTAATTCACAGTGATTTTGGCAATGTGTTTTGGTGATTAGCTTAGTTTTGATATGCAGTACTCACTTAGACGTTTTTGCATTGTTCTTCTCAATGTTACTAATTTTTGAAGAAAAGTAAAAGTGTGAGCCATTGACAACTGTATTGCATGCAGTTGTCCTATCTTTGTCTCAGATACCTTTATTCGAATAATAATTGAATTGACCATAAAAATTTCCAGTTTCGCTTTTCCGTCGTCATCCATCTTAGCGTATTACGCTGATGTGGTGGTGATGCGGTGGCTTAGTGGTACATGCATTCGACTTTTAGCCACTAAGTCTCAGGTTTGAATACCGGTCCACTAACTTCACTTTTGGACAACCAGTTAGTATCATTAGCCATCATACTGCTCATATACAAGTACCTAGTTAGTGAGTTAATTTGAATTTAAATTAATACACGAATAAACCAAAATATACCAATAAAATGAGTAGTTGAAAATCAATTCATTAAACGATAATATCTATCAACGATAAGCTTTTAAATATGTTTCAATTGGATAGAAATTATTATAACCGTCTTAAATTTTATGTTCAGCATTTTACATCAAATATTCAATCAGTACGGAATTTTGTGGAGATTGTAAAATTATGATGGTTTAAAACAAGTTGATCTTATATAGATCGAGATGCAACAGACTGCCTTTCATCCTGATACGGGGACTCTTCGTTAGTGCTCATCCATGACCCTGGATCCGAGAATCAGACCCATGGTTTCCGACCATGCACCCGAACGCCTAACCTCTATCTCACTGAGTTGGTATCCACCGGTGTTGATGCTTAATTTCTATCGATTCACGACATTAAAGTGCCCTCATTCACGGCTCAAGATGGATGACTATCTCGTACTTGACGTGGTCGAATTTCACTTTTCACGATTTCTCACTATGACTCCATTTAATGCTTTTAGTTTTCAGTGGTGGTCTTGACCTTAGTTAATAAGTCCTTTTTTTAAACTTACTTTCGTCTCATTAACGGGATTCAGCTTTCGTATGCAGGTTATCTCCTGTTTTTTAAATATCCATCATTGGCTTTTGGATGTTCATGTTTGTATTCCTAGTTTCGTCGACATACATCTAAAATGTAAATTGTAGGGTTCTTCATTGTGATTTATTTCTTTGTGTGTATGTGTTTTCTATTGCAAACATGCATAGAAACAATCAGTTTTGATAATAATAGACCAGGTTTTATTCGATATATGTTAATTTAATTTAATTCTAATTAAGGTAGTAAATATTTCACTGATTTCTTATTGTGGCGAATTACAGTTTGTAGATAGTTTTTGTCACAAACCGACAGCTATCGGGAGATTTACTTAGAACTAGTTGTCTCATCCTTTTTTAGGAATATTCAACTGTGCATAGCTATAATTCCATTGACTATCGAACTTAGAAGTTTATGAACCCATTATACATTACCCGGTCAGAATACAATTAATGTACCGTTCATCATGATATTTATGTATCTGAAGAAGCCTACGAACTGGGACGAAAATACTATCTAGTGTTTCACCTGATTTTCATTGGTTTCCCATCTAATGTTAGACTTGTTTGATGAAAACTACATTCAAATTGAATTATCCCACACAAAAAACCTAACCTTATCCTAAATTACAATCTCTTATACAATACTTATCAGCATTCTATATGTATTTTCTATCCTGTTGTTGTCTTTTTAGTTATATTTACTTTTATAGGTCCCTTTTTAAAGAACCCAACTCTTATCCGAGTCTAAATTATTTATGATGCATATCCTTTATACGTGTTTTAGTCATGTTAGCCTGTAAGATTTATGACCTATTTTTTCCTGCCCGCAAACCGAAAACAACCGAAAAATAGACAATAAGTAATTTTAATCATCTTCCTACTACGTGTATATTCTTCTTGCTCTGTTTAATTAGGTTTTGATTGAGAAAGGGAAAAAATTATCTGATTAAGCACTGAATGGAATAAAGGGCGAACGACAGTTGTTTGATGATTATCGAAATCATCATAACAAACAGAAGTATTCAGTGTTTACAGTGACATAATAGAATATCAACAGTCAAATATTTTTGAAGTCAGTTAATTGAATGATTGAGTCAACTATTCATAAGAGCCTTTTCAAAATTTTTCTTGACACATAATTTGTCTAAATTTTATTATCATCGAATATAATTAATTGTTAAATAAGGATTATTTTAGCTGTGTTTTTTCGATTCTATATATATCGGAAAAAAAAGTTTTACATAATTTGTCTATCGCAATGAAACAATAAAGATTCAGTACATTGTGAATGCCAACATTTTACTATTTATACTGATGCAGTAAATTATAGAAAAGGATCAATATTGTATTGATCTCATATTTTATCAATAATGTGTGCTCTTCGAAGAAAAAATGATATTGCTACTCAGTTTTAGGTATTATTCAAGTTGATTTTTGGTTGATAGCTATACGTTCATTCATCATAGGAGAAATCAGGTATTTTTTCTTAATATTACAATGTCATTATATATATTCATCATTGAACTTAGCCATTTGAAATGTGGGCTTTTGAAAAGCAAACTTGTTAACTTTACGGACTTATCAGTCTTGTACAATAAGTGTAGATATTTTTAATATCTCTGTTAAATAGTTATAATTCCATATAAAAGCTAATGAGGTTCTGGTACATTTCATGAGATTAGTCTTGTTTGTCTAAATTGGAATAAAAGTAAGACAACATGTAGAATAGTTTTTTCATCATACAGTATCAGTTCTTCCTAGTTACCTACGATAATTGTAACTAATGGTTAATTGTTTTTTCTTCAATATTCATATGTACTTTTTCATGTTATTTAGAATAAAATTGACTCGGTATATAAAACTTTACTTGATACACGAATCTCACTTAATCATTTCCTAATCCGTAGGTATTACGTGTACTTAGCATCTTTTAAATGCAAAGTAATTTAAAAAGACTGATAAAATCATTTGTATGCATTTACTTTTGACCGTAAACTACTAGGGTTGGTCGGAATATTTGTTTATCTTTGTATTCATGTGTTTACTAGTGGTGGTGTGAATGATGAGACTAATATACGGATAGCGAAAGCCAGGAAGAAACTTATCCCGATGTGGTCTATTTTAGTCCCGTCGTTCGTTCCCTTCTCTCTCTACAGATTCACAATATCACTTTCTTATTCATGTGGCGTATACTTATCTTGGTGCCCATTTCATATCAGTAATTGTGTTTTCAATAAATCTTTAAAAATTGTTTGTATTCTTTAACGACAGAAAGCCAGATGATTAAACGATCTATTTGTTTTTAGCTTTAAAATACTAGTCTAGTCCTCCGTTTTTTCCTGCTCATTCTTCCGTTGTTTTTTGTTTATCTTTTTTAAATTGTCAGGCGGAAACGGATTTCTCACGTATTGTTAATGAAGTTGATCCCGGTCATACAGGTTACATATCATTTGATGCATTCTTGAACTTTATGACACGAGATAATGTTGACGAGGCAACTGAAGAACAACTTATTCAATCATTTAAAACACTTGGAGGTGATAAAGTAAGCTTAGTCTCCACAGAGTATATTACATAGTTCTGTTTTTATAGTCATTATTCTACTGTAAATGGCATAATTTACAATTCATTCAGAAGTATCTAGGATATCGTCATAAGATGCTTTTGTTTAGAAGATGTACAAGTAGTTATGTCTGCAGTTTGCATAATTTTATCAAGAGTACAGAATTCAATGTACATCGGAACCCTTTTGATTTCAGTATACAGTAAGTTGTATGATCTTCGGCTAAAGCCGTGATTTAGATAGACTGAACAATTTTATAAAATTAGATTGGTGGTTAAATATAGAGACGTGAAGAATTGATTTTCTTTCATGCAAATAGTTCCCCTCATCATTTTGAAAAGAGCAAGAACAACAATTCTAGTAGAATACCATGAATTCATTTTATTTCGTTGGTTCTCGTCAGCTGCTTACAACCTGTGATATCTGACATTAAATATCACAGGTTGTAAGCTATTCTGCTAGAATTTTTTTGTTGCTCTTTTCAGAATTGATTTTCTGACATAATCAGCCTATGTTGGTCATCACTGTTTTATTAAAGACAATCCTATACTTCTGGAAGACTTGCACTTTTGAACTCTGTATGGAAAACATGTTTTGTTACATACATAAAATTCAATCCTATGTTTTGCCCATATTCAACTTGTATAGTACCATTGTCTTTCGGCACCAAGTTTTTGTTGACAGTCTTACGAAATTCTCTTTTTTCGCCGACGATATAAAATATATAATGCATCCCATCCACAACATAATGTGAGTAATTTATTTATTCTTCGAATCGTCCAAGCCATAGTTTGAATAATTCGGTTGGTAGCGTTGTCAGTAGTAAAGGATTTTAGCTTTTTAGCTTCTTACAGTCTAAAATGAATCATTTTTCAAGAACCTAGTGAATACAGTCGATATCTATCCATCACGATATGGAGATCAATGTTCGATCACTTTATCAGTTGTTAGTTTGAATTGTATTGTTTTCGCCAAGAGTTAAATTGTTTTTAAAATCTCTCGTTTATATTGTTTTAGGGATATATCACTGCTCAGGATATCAAAGAACGTCTTTCTGCTAGTGATGCGGAATATTGTTTACAGAATATGCCTGTATTAAATGGACCAACGGGAGATTCTGGTGCATTAGACTTTGAATCTTTTGCCTACAGTATATGTGGTCGTAAACCAACATCATGATGATATTGATGATATAATTGTGCTTAAAAGTTTTGTGCTTCATTGTTTGTTAGTTTGTGTAACATCATTCCATTTTATATTCGTTTGTTTAATTATTAGTATTTTTATTTACATAATGTTAAGTTTTTACTTTGTATCATTCATACCGACGAAAATGGCAGTTTGCTACTTTTTTTCGTGTTTTTTTTCTCTAGAAAAAAATAATTTTGTGGGACAACACAGTATTATTGTTCTTCGGTATTTTTTCCGTCCATCTTATTCCCCAATTTTTAATATAACTAAATTTCCCAAGATATCTATTCTTGTATTTATCAATTATATACGGATGTATGATTTTTCTTCATAAGCTGATAATGCTTGGTTAGTTTGAGATACAAGAACATCATTTGAAATGGTCCCTATATCAACTAAACATTGTTATCGATAGTGGTTGATTTCGTTTCTTCCTGTCTCAGTGTAACACGTTTAGATTCTGTTGCTTCATAATTGAAAAATTGTTTTTTTTAACCACTCATCGTTTCTTTTACAACAGGTTGTTTACCATTTTGATTCATTTCAACCTATTACTCAATAATTCCACCATTTTAGTTGGTCATATACACACACGCATACATGGTAATATGTTGTTTTTCTCCACAGCAATAACGTAGTAGTATGAGAAGGAATATTTAAATTTTAATCTATAATAGGAGTTTGTATTAACTGACAGTATTATAATTAATTTATTATTTCTTGTTTGAGTTCCCCAAATTAAAACGAAATACCCTTATGTGTCGGTTATTTATACATTAAATTAAATTTCATTTTTTTCGATAAAATACAAACTTGAATGTTTACATTTTTTGTTCACACATTACTTATCTGGATTTTTTTCTACTAACATTTTAATTTTGTCAGTTTCCACTCTTTATTTTTTCCCTCTTTATATACCTCTTATTTAATACAGTTGGAAATGTATAATCTTCCAAGTAAATTTTTTTAATGTTTAAACTCACGTTCTACATACCAAGATATCCTTGTACACTCCTCTGATATCCCAGTCTTCGTTAGTCTTCTTGATTATGATTTATCTGTGTGTGTGTAGGGGGTTTTTTTTCTTCAAATTTGATTATTGTTGCATCAATTTTCGTAATAAAATGAAATAAATTTTAATAAATTCTTTTTACCAACAAATATTTTTTGTTTGTTGCATTTTTTTATAACACGATTTTTGTTGGTATGACTAAGGAATGAATGTATAAGTATGATCGTTAGTTGTTGATGTGTGATATATGTGAATTAGTAGATTTATATGGATCTGCCTATATGTGATGTTCAACATACACACATATAATTGAAAGTTAATTTGTATAATAAAATCATGTTTATGCTAGTTTGTTTGATGTACGTTCTGCTTAACTATGAAAGTACAGAGTGTGATAAATTAATGGTTTAGTTTCAGTACATACGTTTGCATAATGAACAGTGGAATAGGTTATAACACCTAGTCTTAAATTAGATGAATACTAATGATATTGAGAGAACTTTTTACAGCTTTATATGCATATCAGATCATCGATTAATACACAATTTTGTCTTATGACTAACTTGATATCTTTACTTCACACTTAGTCAATTTTCTGCTGCCTAGTTAAAAGGTAACTTTAATTATAGTGTTCGATAAAGAAGCATACAAGTATTCTAAATAAATCAAGTCACTACTAATCGATCTATACAGACTGTTCAATTTTACTAGCCTGACTCTTCTAACTTTTGTTGCATAGACGCATGTTAAGTTGAAGTGCTCATATTTTTTTGTTTATTCATTCTGATACGTGTTACGTAAATAAAAAGTCATCTTTATTGGTTCTCATATGGTGGTACATCTAGCTTCCCAACTCCATCTTACTCAACTATTGAGTTCGTACCTATCTGTAGAATGTTAAGTGATCTAAATGCTTATACATTAATACTTATTCTTACATGATTTTTCAATTTACTAAATCTCATCAGTCTACATTATATTGTAAAGCTTAGATGGTTAATTACTTGACACTTCGTACTGACGTTTGCATCTATAGGTTTGTTTAATTAGTTTGTCACTTAATATTATTATTGTAAGGCGTTGTAGATATTGTTAGATTACATTGAAATCACAAGCCAACCTAAGTTAGGCAACCATCAAAAACCTGGAATTACTGGATGAGCGTTTCGCCCCAGTACAGGACTCTTCGGGAGTGTGCATCCGCGACCTCGTAACCAAGAGTCAAATCCAAAACCTTTAGTTTTATATAAGAATTCCTTTTTTTATTCTCTATGATTAATATTAAACTAGTTGTGTGGTATCTATTAGTAAACTTTGTTCAACTTATAGGTCTCAAAAACAAGATGAATGCACTCATTGAATAGTGTGTAATCAATTTACTAAATTAAGCACCATAACTATCTTAAATTTGGTTTTTTCTGTAGAGTTATTAAGTATCCGTCTTGCGTTTTGATTGGACTAATTGATCTTAAGCTATATACACGTATTACGAATTGTACTGATCGATTTTTTTCGGCTTATAATTTTAAAAAATTTCAATGGTTAAGATCATGTGTCAGTTGTAGTTAGACCACCATGGAAAACCTGGAAGCGCTGGACGGCCGTTTCGTCCCATTGTGGGACTCCTCAGCAGTGCGCACCCACGACCTCGCCCCCTGCGAGATTCGAATCCAGGACCTACTGGTTTCGCACGCGAGCACTTAACCGCTAGACCACTGAGTCGGCATCCAACGGTGTTAATGTCTGACTTCAGCTAATCCACGAAATTGAGCGACACATCCACCGTTGTCTTCACTGAGTTACTGTCTCACAACAGACCTAGTTGAACTCCACTGGTCACTACTTCCCACTAGAACTTCAGGATATGCCTCGTGAAGCCAGTCACTAGTGAGCATATGTTGATTAATATCAGATGGGTTTTGTGGACATTATAGTAATTTCAATGGTTAAGATCATGAGTCAGTTGAAGCTAGGTTTTCCAAGGTGGTCTAGCTTCAACTGACTCATAATGTCCACAAAACCCATCTGAGACCTAAAAAATTTGTTTGATAAATTATTTTTTATTGTAACAAATATATATCGTTAATTAGCATTGTGATTGTATACCTCAATAACTGACCAGCTGATTGTTCTTCAATTATATCTTTTAGCTTCAATGCATGAGTTGTATTTTATTGAGTTTCATTCTTTTCCCTTGAATAAAAACTTCAGCTTTAATGGTTATATATAACGGTTGCTAAGACAGCCACTAATCCGTATATTGACTTAACATGAAACATATGAAAACAGTACTTGGATCGTTTTTTTAAATTCCGATTTTGAACTTTAAGGAAGTTGTTATGCAACTTTCGAAGAGTCGAACTTTCATGCTGAGTTGTTATATTCATTTCTGAACGTAGCACGTCAAATTGTATTTGATGATGATGAAATGGTTGATAATTGACTAAACTATCTACTTACGGTGTGACGGAATAAATTAATAACACTCCATTTTTTCGTTTATTTTTTGTTATCTGAAGAAATAATTATGTATAAACCATTCCAGTAATCGAGTGTAATTACTATAGTGAATCTTTGAAAAGCAACATTACCAATCGTTTATGTCCCATTTGTAAGTAACTAGTCTAAACTCTCGATCTGATTATTTAAAATCGTACACATATTCCAGTAAGTCAATTCAGTGAGTTGAACACATTACTCTCATTTGATTATTTGTAGTTAGTCAGAAACACAAGTGTTACACTGTTTGGTGAATTGATTTTGACATCAGATTGAAGTTGTTCGAGTTCAAGGTCATCCCAACATTTAATCCAACTCACTTCTATACGAAGTCCGATATTTCTTTCAGCCCAACCGCCCATGTTTATGTGATAAAACAATAAACCAATCGAAGTAAATGTTTTTTTTAATGTTTCTATTTATCAAGTTTCATTTTAACTATTGTTTCGATTTATAGTTTTGGTGTGCGGTAAATGTTATGTAATACGTTAGTTAAGGGATCAGATAAAATTGATCTAGAATTCATTTAAGCAGATCTCAAAACGTTTTCATTTTTATCTGTCTATGTATAGAACAAAAAATGCAAATGCTCTAGATATATAAAAAATGCTTAGTTAATTTCATTTTAAAAAGGAAATCTTTGAACATGTGCCTAATATTTTTACCAACAATTGATGCTTGTATATGTATAGACAAAGCGAATTAAACTATTCATGATCACTCATCAGTCCATCAATTTTATGGATACGATCATTGAGTTAGATTTTTATATTTTAAATGATCTTATAGGAGTGATCAACTTCGAACTAGTAATTTTTAACATGCTAATCAAGTTTTCTGTACATTAAGTTGCAAGATGCATTTGTTGATCATATCTGCCTTCCTTAGTAAATACCATGTGTTGTTCAGTGGTTACATTGTGGTTTCTGAAACTGATGCTTTTTTGTCAGCGTTTTTCTCATTATGAACCTTTTAGACAGTCCACTTAATAATCAAACATTTTCTTTAGCGAATATTGAATTATTTGAATCGAAATTGAAATTTCCGTCCAGTTAGATTGTCATATCATTAAACATTTCCAAAGTAATCTCCGCCTAAATCATGTGATATTTGGGTGTGACACTAAAAAATTTGAAACCTAATTTAACGTCAGTACGTTTAATCCAATTTCCAAAAGGCTATCTATTCCCATTCGACTACATAGTAATTTTTAGTTCAATATCACTAATCAATTCTGTATATACACCCTAGCAGCTATCCAGCCAAGTTTATCTTAAGAAGTTGAGTTATTAACTGTTATTGTATCTAGGGCGGTAATGTTGAGGGTACATGCACTTTAAAACTTATTTTTAAATTTCTAAAGATCGGTTAGAATTACTATTCTTTATAACAGAAGTGCTAATATGTAAAAAATATTTTTAATAAGAACTATTCAGAAGTTTCTATTTTTTAAATGTACTTTCATCTTTAAGTCAATATTTACATTACCGATCTGTTGAAAGATTCTTTGTAGAGATAAAGATGTTTTAGTAATTTTTATTACGGATGTATGTACTTACTGTTTGTGTTATGACACGACATATGCTACTGACTGACACAAGTTTTAAACTATTTATTTACATCGGTAAATTAGCAAAATGTTTATACTCATACCAAAAAGAATAAACATTCCATGATGTTTTTCATTTAATATTTGGTAGTCTGAAGTTGTCAGTACGTGACCTTAGTCTTAGATTTCGTACTCCTTTGCACCCATCAATGGTGACTAGCGAAAGCAAGAGAGATGGAAAAGGCAGAGGCAATAGGTAATAGCAGATAACTATTCAAACTTGTTAAGGAAACCGGTATTAGGAACCCGACTATTAGCGAAACACTCTCAGAGAAAGATGGACATATTGTACATTCTCAATCCAGGAGATTGGATCGATGGGATCAGTTCAATTGGCCTTCAGCCACACTTCGGTTCCCCACGATCTCCAGTCAACTTGAATGGCAAGTTAGTGTAGGTCCTCCAACTCTTTACGAAGTTGAAAAAGCCATAGGAAATCTGAAGTGAGGGAGAGCAGCAGGCCCTGACAGGTTAACCCCTGAGATTTTTAAGGAGGGAGGTCCAGTATTAGCAGCGAGATTGACTGAGGTCTTAGGTAGAATTTGGGAACTGGACGTAATCCCATCTGACTGGTCTCAATCTCACTGATTGTGCCAGTCTATAAGAAAGGACAAAAGTCTTCTTGTGACAATCACAGAGGAATCAGTTTGACTAATATAGTGTCTAAAATATTAGCTTCAATAATACTTCGACGCCTAACTAAAGCTCATGAAGAGCAGACTAGAGAAAATGAGACTGGTTTTCGACCTGGACGTGGTTGTATAGACCAGATATTCACACTACGTCAGGTTCTAGAACACAGACACACATTCAGACGCTCCACAATGGTAGTATTTCTCGACCTTAAAGGAGGCATTCGACTCTGTTGATCGTGAGGCTGTATGGCAGTGTTTGCAACTGAAAGGAGTACCAAAGAAGTACCTTAACCTTATAAAAGCTCTCTACTCGAACACAACTGGTCGAGTGAGAGCTTATGGCCAACTGTTATCAGAATTGATTACATCAAGTGGTGTTCGTCAGGGCTGTCCACTCTGT